CAGAGACAAGACTGACCTCGGTCACGTCGATCCATCGCATGGTGTCCATCGAATTAATGTGAGCGGTAACCCGCCTTACATGAAGCCACGCAGGCTAGCACGAGCAGAAGAGGAGGCAGCGCATCAAATCGTCAGCGATCTGGAAGCCTCAGGCATTGTCGAACCAGCAGACTCAGAATACAATGCAGCCATTGTCATGGTCAAGAAGAAAGATGGCACGTGGCGTCTCTGCGTGGACTATCGGTGGCTGAATGAAATTACAGAGAAGTCTCGCTACGCACCGCTATTGATCGATCGATGCTTTGAATCCCTCCAGGGCATGTCATGGTTTAGCACTCTTGACGCGACATCGGGCTTCTGGCAAGTCGAGGTCCATCCAGACGACAGGCACAAGACGGCATTTTCCGTCAATGGTCAGACACAGAAGCAGTGGGCTCGTATGCCGATGGGCCTGTGCAACAGCGTAGCGACATTCCAGAGAGTCATGGACAAAGTGCTGAAGCGAGTGCTGTGGAAGAGTGCATTTTCGTACGTAGATGACATTGTGATCTACTCGCGCACCTTCGAGGAGCATTGCGGGCACATACTTGATGTATTCCAACTGCTGCACGCTGCAAACATCAAAGTGAAGCCGAGCAAGTGCACCTTCTTTGCGCGAAAGATATCAATTCTCGGCTTCCTTGTCTCCGAAGGAGGCTTGCAGGCCGATCCGAAGAAGGTCGAAAAGATGGTCGACATGGCTGAACCAACAGACAGAAAGGAGCTGCGGAGCATGCTGGGTGTCTTCCAGTACTACAAACGTTTCGTCAAGGGCTATGCTGACCTTGCCAGGCCACTCACTGACCTGACGACGAAGGAATATCCCTTTGCGTGGGGAGACACGGAAAGACAAGCCCTCCGAGCACTGAAGGAGAGGATGGTCCGAGCACCTATCCTGCTCTTGCCTGACTTCAAGAACTCCTTCCAGCTCAAGACGGACGCAAGCGATTACGCAATTGGCGCGATCCTCTGTCAGAGAGACAGCACGGGACAAGAGAAACCCATACATTACGCTAGCTCTGCTTTGGGGAGGACCGAACGTAATTGGTCAGCCACAGAGCGAGAGGCATACGCCATTTACTATTTTGTGCGCCACTTCCGCCCGTACCTGTTTGGCCATCGATTTGAGTTAATCTCAGATCATCAAGCGCTGTCGTCATTGAAGAAGGCACAGGAAGGGGGCAATCGTAAGTTGCAGAGGTGGTCACTGATGCTGCAAGACTATGATTTCGTTTTCCGTTATCGACCTGGCAAAAAGCACAGCGACGTTGACGCACTCTCGAGGCCACCCAGGCAAACAGACGTACACGACAATTCTCCCACGTACCAGCTGGGGGCAGTTGGCGTTGAAGGTCTTGATGACAGTCCGCTGTTCCATCTTGGTCAGATCATCGCAGCGCAAGACAATTGCGATGAGACATCCAGCGTGAAAGCCTACCGGACGGCAAAAGCAGAGAACAAGAGCAAGGAAGAGCTCGAGCGGCTACGAGACATGATCCCCAAAGCGTATCGATCACGGCTTGATCAGATTTGCTTACTTGATGGCATGGTGAGATTCGTGTCGAAGCACCAAGAATACGCACCGGTACTCGTCGTGCCCATTTCTCTGCGCGAAGCAGCTATGAAGCTCCATCACTCACATCAACTTGGCGGACACCTGGCAGTCGAGAGAGCCTACAAGCGAATGGCAAGAGAGTTCTACTGGCCAGGCATGTACGAGAGCCTCCGCAAATACATAGAGACATGTCAGGCGTGCCAAAGCAAGAGAACCCTGAGGATAGCAGGACGGCCTACAATACAAACACCATCCGCAGAGAGACTGTTCCAGAAGATCGCTATGGACTTCATCGGGCCATTCCAGCCCTCAGAGGATGGCAATCAATATGCATTGTGCATTCAAGACTACTTTACCAAGTGGCCAGAGGTCGTGTCATTTCGCAGCGCACCAACAGCTGAAGAGACCACGAGAGCGCTCATCGAGGCAGTCGTCACCCGACACGGGCTGCCGGAAGAAGTCATCACGGACAATGGGAGCCACTTTGTCAATCAGCTGATGCGTGACGTGACCAACATGCTGCGAATCAAACATACGACGACAACACCACAACATCCACAGGGCAATGGCATGATTGAGCGCTTTAACCGTACCTTGAAGGATCGATTGCGTCCACACTTGAATAAGCGACAAACCAATTGGGACAGGGTGATTCCATTGGTCTTGTATGCGTATCGCACCACCGAACATGAGTCTACTGGTTTGACGCCGTTCAAGATGATGACGGGACGAGAGGCAGTCCATCCCGGTAGCACTGCGCGGCTGGTCGCGATGAATGAGACGGCGGCCAAGGTGATCGATCCTAAGGACGCCGTCAAGCTTATAGAGGAAGGTCTACACATGATCCGCGAAGAGGCTCTCAGAAACATGGACAGGAAGAAGCAGCAGGTGGCTTCACGCGAGAAGGATCTACCTGCACCAAGGCAATTCAAGCCAGGAGACAGGGTGCGAATATTCAGCGACGATGTGCCCAAGGACCTTAACAAAAAGCTCATCTCACCATGGCGAACGGTGGGCATCATTGAAGAGAAAACGGACCCAGTGACCTACAAGTCCGACCCTGCGGCACACAGAAGACCAAGAACATCAATGTTGATCGACTGAAAGCAGCGCCGCCACCGATGGCTGAATACATACCAGAGAGCCACTTGAGGAGAGACAGGAGACAAACCGTCCTCAATCAAGATGCGTTTCTGACTCCAGATCAGGAGGATCAGCTCGCTGAATTCGCAGTCGGGCCAGACCATGTGCTATCGTCAAAGAGAGACACTCACTCGGCCGACATCCCTGCAGAACAGACAGAGAAGGGACCTCATTTCAATCCCACTGAGCATGACCCCAGCCTCATGAACATCGAGCCTGACCCTCGTTTCACAAAGCCGTTTACCAGGAAGTGGAAGTGATAGTAGCCAAGAGACGTCACAAGGGCAGGGTGCAATACAAACTGAAATGGCGCTGGTGGCCGCTCAGCTACGCGACTTGGGAGTACGAAGAGGACCTCAATTGCCCCGAGAGAGTCCAAGAGTTTGAGAACCGAGAGCCAGATACTGACCTTGATCCCCGAGACGTGCTGTTCCCGTCAGTTGGCGAAGCAGTAAGGCTGAGACATTGCCTGGAGCTCAATCGCGAGCATGTGGTCAGAATCGATCGCCTGGATGCGAGCGGCATCAAATTCACATATGTCAGCGAGCCTACGAGGCCAAAGACGTCAAAGAAAGAGATTCTCATCGGGAAGTCGACCTTGTGCTCTCTGCGTGAGTTCTTGAAGAACTATCAGTGGGAAAAGGAAAGGGATGAGCGCGATATGGGGCCCGCCACCCGTGATGGGGAGAACAACAGTCAACCAGGGCTTAATATACCATAGAAACGGGAGAGTGGCATCTCCTCTCTCGTCACTGAATGCACACAGAAACAGCAATCAACACCGTGTGCGACTTTTTGAAGAGATGTCTTCTTTGGTCAAGATATTCATGTTTTCGTGTACAAGGGCGAGGGGTGCGTGTGCATGTGTGTGTGTGAGTGAGTGTGAATGAATGTGAGCATGCGTACGTGTTACATGATGATTTTGAAGCCTCCGAGTCAGGCGAAGCCCCAGAAGCAGGAACAGGAAGGGTCTTTCTGACTGAACCTGCACGAGGCAGCAGTGCACACAGTGTGTGTGCTTGTGTATGTGTGTGCGTGCCTGCTTTCGCCAGAGAATGAGGACTCCCATGCCTCAGAAGGGGTGCTGCACTGCAGCCGGTTCTCATCTCCAACTGCCAGAACACAGAGGGACGGTCATTGATGGGTTGGGCCGTGCTGGAGGCGAAGCAGAGGAAGGAGTTTTTACCACTGTCTGTGGGTTTTCTTCTTCTCGTGGTGTGTATATGCATGTTGTGCCGTGTCGTGCCGTGTTGTGTTGTGTTGGGTATGCGTACGTGTGGGGGTTAGCGTGTGGGGGAAAGTCTGCTCCCTTGTACATAGCTGTAGATAGCTGGAAACAGCTGTTCACACGAATGCCGGTCGGCGGCAGGGTTTTTGCGGAGGATTCTCTATGAAGAAGAGGCTGGAGAAGACCAGCGGCGAACGAAGCTCTTCCTCTTGACGCGGGCGAAGGATTAGAGCCCAGAGGGCGAAGCGAGCCGATCGCACGACAAGGCAAGGTCTGGCCGAAAAGCTGGATGGCGAGCTCAAAAGCTAGCGATCTGCCCGAGAAGATGGCTCCCGCTGCAAAAAGCCATCTGCCGCTGCAGAAAGCTGTCTCGCCACTCAAAAAGACAGCTTTCCATTGCAGAAAGCCAGATGGCCCATCAAAAAGCCAGCTTTCCGTACAAAAAGACAGCTTTCTGCACAGAAAGACAGCTTTCTGCACAGCAAGACAGCTTTCTGTACAGAAAGACAGCTTTCTGCCACAGAAAGACAGCTTTTCGCACAGCATGACAGCTTTCTGCACAGAAAGACAGCTTTCCGGCGGACGTGATAGCTTTCTGCACAGAAAGACAGCTCGCTGAGGCAGAAAGACAGCTTTCCGGCGGGCGTGACAGCTTTCCGATGGGCGTGACAGCTTTCCGGCGGGCGTGACAGCACGCTGCCTCTCGAGGCACCAGCGGATTCAATGCACCCATGCACACGCACACAGACACGCATTGAGGCGTCAACTGGCCATGGAGGGTCTCTGTCAAGCGGTTCATTCACATGATCCATCCATGGCCAACCAACACACACATGCACACACCACGCACTCACTCACACACACACACACACAGTCACTCAGACAGCCATGCACTCAGACAATCACCCACTCGCTCACACACACGTGCAAGCCAATATCTACATTATTGCGATTATGCACAGTGGGCAACAGGGATGGGACGATGCGCTGTGGCAGCGACAACCTGAGAGCTCTCTGAGCATGAACGCTCTCTTCTCAACTCACCATATTCTGATTGGCCTCACGTGATGGGACCTTAGGTTGCTCGATCTCTATTGTGATGTGCATGAATTCCTTTGCAATGAGTGCGATGGCGTGTAGCCCTTGCTTGGCCTTGGGTGGGCCTGGGCCGTCTGCCGGTGGCGACTTGCCCAGGATGGGGCGCCGTAGACCAAAAGTACGCAGCGACAGAAAGCGCAGCAACTGAATCACACATCGATCTGAAGCATGGACAGACACCACACACCGCACACATGGATGGATGGATGGATTGACGTGTGTGTATGGTGGACAGTACGTGGCATCGTGTCGTTGGGGTATGTGGATGCGATCAGGTCACTTGTGAAGACGAGGACGAACCCAACAAACATAGCAGCAACCGCTCTGACAACACACAGGTGCCGCATCTTTATCCATGTAGCCGTCACAGATCCGATCTGACTTGTCGAGTGATTCGAAGAGCTCGCCGTGTGTATCTCCCATGAACGCAAAGTAGCGCAACTCGCCGCCGACTGTGGCTGAACATAACCAACAACACCCACCGCACTCATACACTGTGTATGGACGACGCATCTCTCCCTCACCTTTCCCCACTTGAAGGCCGAGGCCGTACAAATACCCAAGCTCCGTGATCTTCTCTGACTGAACGCGTGTGAAGGTGACGGCCTCACCCTCACGCACCTCCAACTCTCCCATATCGCGGACGGCTGGTTCAGGATCGCCGTCGGCATTGACCGTGCGCAGCGCCGCCCCTTCCCACCCTCGGGTCTGGTTGTCACGCATGTGCTTGTTAAGAGCATCGATGCCCTTCTCCACCTCCATGTCGCCAAAGTCGCTGTCGCCCCACCCGCGCTTGCTCTTGTCCAAGCACCGACACATGAACGCCAGGACCTGCACAGCGACACAAGGGCCGACACGTCCTGTGATGCACTCATGCCATGGTGTGTCTTGTGTCCGCCGGTGCTGACCCCTTTGGCGTCGTAGAGTTTGAGTTCTCCCACCGCCTCCGCCACACATGGGGAGATGACGTCTGTACTCAGCAGCCTCGTCATGAGCAGAAAGTGACGCAACAGTGCATCTGCCAGACACACACACACACACACACAGACGGACAGACAGACAGACAGACAGACAGGCAACATCCATAACCACACAGACAAGACACACCCTGCTCTATGTCCGTCCGTCTGTCTGTCTGTCTGTGTGTGTATAGTTCGGCAGTCTGTCCATGTCGTCCTGCATACTTGTGCATTTGAAGTGACTGCGTGCGCTGCGATACAGTGATGGGATGCGCTCTACTGTGCCCTCCGCGTCGCCACGTATGGCCTCAATGACAAATGCTGAAAGAGCAGGGAGAGGAATACAGGTAGATCAGACACACACGTATCCCCCTGCCCATCGACTCTCTCACCCTTCTCGGGGTCTCTCAGCGTGTCCTCGATCGCTTTCGCCTTCTCCTCAAGGCGCGTGAGGCAGTCGTCGCCACCGAGCAGGTTGGCGTCATTCGGTGGTGGGGGAGCGGCGAGGGGGGGCGGTGCAGCAGCAAATGTGGATGCGGACGCGAATGCGGATGCGGATGCAGACGCTGATGCTGATGCGCTCGCCGACGCTCCATGCACACACCCGCCTCCCTGCTGCTGCTGCTGCTGCGCTTCCACTGTGTCTGCGTGTGCACGCAGAGCGGCGGGGTTCTGAAGAATGCTCACCACACCTCCGCCGCCCAACAAACTCATGATACCACCTTCCACCCTGCATGCAGGAGCCAGACACACGATAAGGGAACCAGACACGTGATGGCTGTTTCTTTGTCGGCGCTGTGACCTGGGATTAGTGGTGAGTGCGGTTGTGGCTTTCTTGGAGGGGAGACGGTGGAGGTGCGACGCCTCGCTCAGCCCATGCCTCTTGAGGTACTGCTGATACTCCTCGAAGTCATCATCGCGGCAGAACTTGTAAACTTGCACCAAACAGAGGCTCGATTCCAACTGGCTCTTGATAAATGTGTTTTGGTGTGATTTCATGGGTACCTCGACGTAAAATTGGTGCCACAGGTTGATGTTCGTCTGAATAAGTCCGGCCAGCCATGTGGTGAGCGCTGTGAGACACCTCTTGGGCGAGGCGGTGTGGCCCTTGGCGATGGCCTCCTTGTACGGCGACCGCTCAGACACCGGCGACCAGTGCACGTCAGTCATAACCTGGAGCACCACACATCACCAGACGCCACACACATTGTCATGTGCTATGCTGTGCTGTCTTGTGTTGTGTTGTGTTGTGTTGTGTACACGTGTGTTGTGTTGAGTGTTGTGCATCTGCCTTTTCAGTACCTCAACATACGCCTTGATCCAGTCGCTGTTGGTGAAAAGCGACCTCAGCACGCGGCCGCGGCACACGGCCATCCACGACACGAACCTCGACGCCGATCCCGCCCCCTCCTCTCCCTCCTCCCCCTTGGGCCCGCCTCGCAGGAAGAGCACATACACGCGGCGCATCCCCACCACCAAGTCCTGCTCCCACTGCTGGACGTCGGCCGCGAAAAGCTGCCGCAGATGCTTGAGGGAAATGGGCGCCCGCTTCGCCTTGACCACCCTTCCTTTGCCGCCCTTACCCTTGCCCTTGCCCTTGCCCCCTTTGCCGTCCTTTCCCTTGCCGGTGCCCTGGCCGCCTTTGCCGCCCTTATCCTTACCCTTGCCCTTGCCCTTGCCCTTGCCGGCGGCACCCTCGTCCTCGCCGCCGGTGGCGCCGGAGGCGCCCTTGCCGATGCAGCTCTTTGCCTTGGCCTTGGCCTTGCCGATGCCGCTCTTGACCTTGGCCTTGCCGGTGCCGCTCTTTGCCGCAGCCTTGCCGGCGGCGGGCTCTGCCTGGCTCTGGGCCTGCCCCTTCCCCTCGCCCACCCGTGCGGCCTTTCTGCCGGCGAACGCTGCATCCATCTCGCTTTCCGTCATCTCCTGCTCGTCCTTCTTCCGCTTGGATGGTGTGGGACGGAGACCGGGGGGGCGGGAACGGCTGCTCTGCGACGCGGCCACGATTTCTGCTGCTGCGGCGGGTGGCGGCATATCGTCATCCTCCTTCTTGTGATGTGTCACTCCCTCCTGCTGCTCCTCCTCCTCCTCCTCCTCATCTGTCACACATTCAGACGCCGGTGGTGCGTGCATCACTTCATTGTCTAAGGGCACTTACCGTCATCATCGTCTTCATCATCCTCCTCGTCCTCGTCGTCGCCCTCCTCTTCCTCCTCCTCTCCCTCGCCCGCACCAAACAGATCATCGTCTTCCGGAACAGGGCTGCGACACTGTCTTCAGCACAATTTTTGACGAACAGTGTCTACTTGGCCATCCATCCATTGGTAGCCGTAGGACTGTAGTGATCAGCCGGCCCCACACCCCCAGAGGGGTGTGGCGGCCGGTTGCATATCTCCTGTACCTCATCCACGTCTCCACCACTTTCTTAGTTCGTCCCACGTGAGTCAGCGTTGTGTATTCGTCCCGCTGTGTTCGTTCCGTTCTGTGTCTCTATGCCCCTACTGATGTCCCTGTTCCATGACTTTCGATGTCTGGCTGTAGGCCTCTGCTCTGTGCTGTGCTGCCTTGTCTTTTTGCGACCTCTTTACGCGCGTGACATGGCATCGCCCCAAGGGAGAACACCCAGCTGGTGTGCAACCTGACTGTCTCTGTGCTGCACGCTTGCTGTGCGTGCACACATTGACTTGTCTAAGCCTACGCCGCGCCAGCTTGACGCCATCCCATTTTTTAAACCCGACTCGAATTCTCTCCTTGCTTCGACACTGATACTGAAAGACGCATTATACCTGCTTGCATGTGTCTCAAACCGTGCCTCACTTGCACGGCTTTGTCTGGACTACTTCTCACCGGCTAATTTCCTTCCCCTTTTCATTGAGAGCTACAGCTTGAAGTGCTGACACTTCTTGCCTCCACCCGGCACATCAACCCAGTAATGTGGGCAGTGTCTCAGCGATACAAGAGACATAAAACGAAGCGAGTGTGTCAGCGCACACCAATGATGACACAGCAAGCATTCCATGCTGCCACAGGCAGCCACGAATCGAGGGGAGGGTCATCGATTACATCAACCACAGCATGACACGCAAAGCAGCAGCGCAACGGACGGGCTGGCGACACAGATGGCTGCCATGCAGCAGTGTATTCAAACCAACAGTGACCCTCCGCCCATTCGATGACAAGTCGGATGTGAGCATTCTGACTCCATCACAGAGGTCAGCGCCGCACGCCTGAACTACCCGCACTTGACTGAAGAGCACTTCATCCGACCTGTATGTGATGCAGTACGGGGGCGCGCAAAAGACAAGTCGAATGAATGGATCTGCTCCAAAAGGATGACCCGACCCGAGCACTCGTCAAGAACCAAAAGATGAAAGCCTGGAAACCAAATCCAAAGCCCGACTTCCAGCAATCATTCGAGGAGGTCTCTGACCTCTATAGAGGAGCCAGCCGACATGAGTGAGCAGGAGGCCGTCCGTCTGTTCGTCGAAGCTCTCCCACTTGAGACGAAGCGCCACATACTCACTAGATGTGTCGACCCCTGCACATTCCAGCCCGTCAGGCAGCTGGGGGAAGACGCCCAAGTGGCCGTGGAACGGTTGAGCAAAAAGCGTCCACACAGGCGGGATGCGAACGAAGAAGAGCGACGCCGAAAGAACAAGACCTTCGAGAGCCCCTCGATGCGAGATGAATACACTTGAGCAACGACCTGACAGCAACGACAAGAGCAAGGCCAACCAATTGGATGCCTCAAAGCGAAGTGATGAGCCACAGCTGTCCATCGATGCCATCAGGGGAGACGTAACTGCTCTGAAGGAACAGATAGGCGCCATGAACAAGCAAGAAGAAGACAAGGTCTGCAGCACTAGCTCACAGGGACAGCAGGCAATGGAAAGGATGACCCGCATTCTTAAGCAGGAACCATTTCTGTGACATAGCTGGACACAGATGATGGAGTTCTGTGACATACCTGGACACAGATGGAGGGACTGCAGGAGACGACCAGACGGCGGGCTGCCTTACCCAAGTAGCCAGTGCGGAATTCGTCCTTCGTAGCGCGGGAGGGCTCGAATCGATCAGTTGACGCCCTGTGAAGCTCAGCCATGAATCCTGACTGAGGATTCCCTGTTACTCTATGGGGGAGCTTTTTCATCTATGGACATCTATTGCAATACCAGGATCTGAGCTACCTATCACACGACACTGGCCGATCTAAGTTAACAACAACTCACCACTGGATACATCGCATGTGCGAACCCACCATGACCGAAAACATCGAAACAATTCTTTCCAAAGGCACTCGGTGTGGTGGCCGGTCGATGTGGAAGACGCACGAACAGCCAAGTCCTTTTCGGTCAAGGATCTGTCACGAGCCTCTCTTCCCCTACCGCCATTCCCGTACTTTTCCCATCACAGCCGCTCTTGTGCTGTCAATGGAAGCACTTCATCCTCATCCTCAGCCTCATGCTCGTCCAGTGGTGTCACAATCGTTACACACCTGGCTGACTTCCCGTGGTTCGGAGTGTCTCTGTGTCCATGGTTGCCGTGGCAGCATGAAAGGCCCATGGCTGTGATGGCCTGGTGTGAGAGATAGTTCGACGACAGCAGGCAGACCGATCCCATCAGCCCCACCACCATGAGGATGATGTCCAGTTGCTCCAAATACACCAGCCACCCCCACAGCACCGACGCAACCGACGCCCGGTGCACTAGTGGTCGAATCATCGGCCATTTGTCCGTCGGCTGTCAGGAGAGTCACGTTTCCCATTCTGGGTTCTGCTGCCTATCGGCGGGCTGTCGGTGCTGATGAACTACACGCGACACCGCATTCTGCGGTTGTTCGCTCTTGGGGCATTCGGCGTGGCGCTGCTGTATATCAGCCACATCCCTGTTCACACAGAGGCCCACGCACACGGCCACGGACACACCCACCCCCATCGCCGAAGCCTAACTCGAAACTCATGGTCGTCAAGCTCAAGCAACTGACGCAACGATCAACGGCTGACACAAGCAACGCAAGGGAACGAGTCAAATGGGAGAAAAAACAGAAGCAATCAATCGCAGAGCAGTTTGCGAGCTTTTCTCGAGAAGCAATCGTCTTTGCTTCGGTTTCTAACCATTGAGCGGGGCTTCTGGTGATGCGGTGAGTGACAATGGACTGCTCCCTTTCCGATGACGGCGATAACTGGTCAGATGCGTCATCGGATGATGACGAAATGCACCCTGCCCTGCGGAAGGGCAGCTCCTTCCGCATCCTGCTTTTCGGCCTTATTCTGGGAATGAGATTCTGTTTGCCGGTTCCCAACTCGTACAACACGATTGCCTTCATCTTCGCCGCAGTCAACCGGCTGGCCACCACGCTGTATCGCGGGCAGCGTCCATTTCTCCCCCCTCAATTCGAGTCGGCTGACTATCTGAAGAGGTTTGTCGACGGAGGAGACTACAAGAGTGACGACTTCATCATCCGTCCGCGATTTACGGAGCCGCTGAGGCTTCACACGCTTGATGTTGTTCGTCTGCTGCGACAGGTGGTGCGTAATCGATCTGTCATGGAGCAGTGGGTGCACGCACAGCCGCCGAACGACGCTGCTGCACCACCAGATGCCGACCGCACCTTCGGCGGTCTGTTCGACGGCTTCGCTTACCATCGCCACCCCATCCATCGACGGGCGGCTGCAGTGGACGTGGGAGGACAGTCGCCACCGCCTCTTGTTGTGCTCTTCGGCTTTTCCAACGACGGGTTCACTCCCGGTCGGTGGAGGGCGGCCGCCACCTCCCTCGAAAATTGGCTTCTGCTGGTCGCCAACATGCCCATCCCGCTCCGTTACGCCCTGATGATGATCTATGCGACAGAGCCGACAGATGGGCTGTGGGAGGACGAGGAGGGCAAGGCCGGTGGGATGGTGGCGCTCTCGGAGCGACTCGTCGAGGTGCTGCGAGTGCTGTGGGAGGGGGTGGTGATGGAGGTCTACAATGTCGAGACGGAGCGGCTGGAGCTGAGGACGGTGGTGGGTGCCCTGCTCTACTACGCCGCCGACATGCCAGCAATGGGCCAGCTCCTGCGCGTCAACGCATTCGCGTCTGCGGAGGCGTGCTGCTACGGGTGTGACTTCAAGAAGAATGACCTCCAATACGCAGCCGCGTTCCGCATCGTTGAGGAAGACGACCTCATCGGTGGTGCAGCGTTTGACCGACGTATCGACCGGCATGCGTGCGCCCGACAGACAGGGCCTTCAGCAAGACGACCGGCGTCAATGGCGTGACGCCATTCCGGCGTCTGCCGGGGTCTGCGCCGGTGCGAGAGAGGATCGAGGAGTAAGCATGAGGTGACTCCATGCTTTCTGGCATGTACTCCGCGTGCAAGGGACCCACTTTGTCTGTCTTCCCCTCCCCCCGGCACAACGAGTCTTCAGACGCTTTCGAACTGCAATTTGCGCGAGTGTGCAACTGCCATATTGTCTCCTACCTATGAACATTGACCCATTGAAGCTTGTCTTTTGAAGCCCCCTCCCCCGTTCAAGGGGGAGAGGGCGACATTGCATGGTCCACAAGGCATCTGACTTCACACGATGTGCCTTCACTGCAATCACCCATCAAAAACAGCGATTGTCGGCTTCTGGACCAGTGCTATCGCTAATGACTGAGTCCGCTTCATCCGCTCTCCCCGGATCCTTGCAAAATACCGTCAAATCGTTGTGTCTCTTGTATGCTCCCTTTCACGATTTACCCTAAACCTCAGCCCGTGGCCAATCGCGATCACTGGAAATGCACCCACTCGGAAAAAGCAATGTAATTGCGTTTCACGGAGTGTGCGTATGTTGGGCTGGAGGGCTTACAACCTTTTCCCAATGCGAGCTTGCGAATTTAGAAATGTGTCAGTTCTTCCAAACCACAGCACGGTTCGGGACAAACGTTGGCGTGGGAGTCGAGCGTAGGTAGGCGACCAGCACAGTATGGTCTGCGACCGGCAAGGCCGCTCCGTTGCGGAGAGCCGTGCGTGAAGTGTCCTTCTACGCAGATCTGAGGGAGTCAGATGGGCATCGGCAGATCAGGTGCTCTGCAGCGGTCAGGACGGTGTGATCTCTGACCGACGAGGCGGCCTCGTCGAGAGCGAAGTGTTCGGCCAAGAAACCCTGAACCCAAGAAACCCTCCGGCCGTCACGCAGCCTTCTGGGACGCAGATCTGCTCGTCTGAGTGCTTCTGTGTCTGCCTGGCAGGTGTCTCGATGTTCCATTGAGCCGCATTGCTGCCCTCTCTATCGCCAGGTGAGCCGATGGCCGTCACGCCGCAAACTGGCATGCAGATCTGCTCGTCTGAGTGCTCTGTGTCTGCCTGGCAGGTGTGTTGATGTTTCGTTCACCCGCATTGCCGCCCTCTCTATCGGCAGGTGAGCCGATGGCCGTCACGCGCATTCTGACACGTGGCAGTGTGTGTATGTGGGTATGTCAGTAGCTCAACAGGAGGCGTACAGCC